CGGCCTGGGGAGAGACCCTGGGGCGGGCAAGGGCCACCATGTGAAGGAACGTGCAGATGTGCCGGGGTCGAGTGCTACACCCCACAGCTTATTTCCACAGTTAGGTCATGCCTGCATGCAAACCCACAAACACGGTTACTCATACACAAGCCTGCAAGATGCACAGCCTCATGCATGTGCCCACTCCTCTTACAATTGCAGGTTGCAGTGCTCCCCACATCTGCACACTTTACACACCCACGTGAAGCCCCGTGCTCCAGCAGGTGCAGAGGGATGGCGCCTTTGGGGGCCCGAGGGGGACACCTGTGCCCTCTGGGCCCAGGGCTCGGTGTGCCTGGAGTCAGGTGTCAGAGGCCGGCAGATCCCCGGTTCCTGGAGGTCACAGCTCTGGCAAAGGCTGACCAGCCACCTGCCCAGCCCCACGCTGAGGGGGCTGCCTGGCCTCAGGGGAGAACAGGGAGGTCAGCCAGGTGGGGGCCGCCCCTGTACCCGCTCTGCGCGCTGATGTGGCTGTCCTGCGGGAAGGGCCTCTGCCCGGGCCTGTGCTCCTGCTCCTCCGTCCCGGGTCTGGGAGGGCCCCTGCCAGCCTGGCACCCAGGCTCCACACTTCCCTTCTCGGGGAGGACCTTGAACTCATCAGATTGTGGCTGAGGGCTGAGAAGGAGCCCCACCTTACCTGCTTTGTGCTGGGAGCTTGGAGGAGCCTTCTGGAACGTGATTTCCACTGAGTCCCTCACCTGCCCTCGAGCACGGGCGCCCTTGACCCTGTCTTCACAGACGAGGGAACAGGCTCTGAGAGGCACATGGCTGGCAGGAGGGGCTGGGTGAGTCCTAAGGCCCTGGCCACCCACCTTGGCGCTTGACTGAGGAATTGTCCCCGACTTGGGAGCAGGAAGAGAAAGGAAGAGGGCCTCCCACCACGGCCTCCCCTGCTGTGCCCTAGAGCCCCTGGTCCCAACCCTCCATCTCTCCATGCAGATGCCCCTCTACCAGCCTGTCTGGGCCTGTTTCCCATTCTTCATACCCGTGAGCCTGTGAAGGATGCCTCAGTTTACCTCTTGGAGCAGAGGCCTCACGATCATGCTGGCCCAAGACCCCAGGACGCTGAAGCTGGTTGGAGAGACATGGGAGCCACCACTTGGACCAGGATCCAAAAGAATTCGTCAACAGGCCCCCTTTCGTCCTCTTAAAATGCCACTAAAGGGAGATTGGTGCAGGACACAGGAGCATGCCTAGCCATCACCACGCATCTGGAGACTGAAGCACGCTGCTCTCTCACAGCCTGGAGGTCGGACGTCCAGCACCGTGTCTCCGGGGCTAAAATCGGGTGTCGCAGGCCCGGCTCCCCTGGAGGCTCTGGGGGAGAACCCATTTCCTCATCTTTTCTGGCTTCTTGGCCCTCGGCCCCTCCCTCCACCGTCCAGGCCGGCTATGGCTGCACGTGTCACCCCATCGCCCTAACTCTGCCCCTCCTGCCCCTCTCCAAATGTTAGGACCCTGTGATGACACTGGGCCCACTCAGGGACCCAGGTTCAGCCTGTTTTAAGACTCCTTTGCCTCATGAAGTAACATATTCACAGGCCCAGTCTCGGGACCAGGATGTGAACTTGGGGGCCCTCACTGGTGGTCCCAGCATCTGAGGGCAGCTGGTGGGCCCACAGGGACTGGGCAGAGGTGGGCCAGGCTCATTCGGGACAGCCATGCAGCTCCCACAGCTCCCGAGCAGTTCCAGAGGAGCTCCCTATCTGGGAAGACTGAACCAGGGACCCCGGGGATGGGCTGCCCCTGCCAGGCAGGCCAGGGGCCAACTCCCTTTTCTCTGCTGCACCTGTGCCAAGCTGGTCTCCAGCACGCTGCTGCTGCGTGCAGCCAGCCCCGCTCCCCATCTCCTGTCCAGCCTCTTCGCCCAGGTTCCAACATGTAGGTAACTCCAGGAGCCTGCCGACTTCACCCAGGCCTGTGCCCTGAGTCATGCTGCGCCCCCCTCCTTATAGGGCTCCCAAGCCCACTTGCCGAGACCTGCTCAAACACTGCTTCCTCTGGACACCCCCAGTGTTCTGGGACCCCTCCAGCGCCCATGCACTTTGATATGGTCTGTCAGCGTCTTGGTTAGTTATTCGTGTGTGTGGCCTCACCCCCCGGACAGAGTTCCTGAAGGTAGAACTAGGGCTTTGAGCCCACATAGCATGGGTGGCACCACAGCCTTTCTCTTCCCAGGACCCTGGGACAGTTGCTCATCTCACTGGTCCTCAGTTTCCTCATCTGTAAAATGGGCTGAACACTCTTTTCAAGGTGCTCCCTGCCTGGCCTCTGCGGCCAGGAGAGCAGCTGGTCCCATCAGGTATGTGAACACATTGGGGTCTGGAGTGCACAGACCCTTCCTCTCCCTCGTATTCAGGTGTGTGGAGGCCCCTCCCCACCTGGCGGTGGAGCTCAGACAGGCTCCCTGGGTGAGGCAGGTGGCCCGGGCCCTCCCTGCAGTCATCCGTCTCCCAGCTTTATTAATGGCCGTGTCAGTGCCGCGCAGGACGCCTGCAGCTGTCTGCAGTGATGGATGACGAAGCGCCTCTGCTGCTATTTATTCTCCAGTGACCCTGTCCCCCCATTGTTGCGTGCGTAAGAGTTATGAAGGTGGGACATGATAATTTGATATTGATCTATTTGGTGAGCTAAGAATTTACCGCATCCTTGATGTTTTAACAAAGGATACACTTGAATCCTGCAGGCAGTTGAAAGGCTGCTCGGACTGCTGCTCCCCGCCCAGTGGGAAGGGGCAGCTGGCCCCACAGGGCCCAACGTAGGGCGCAGGGGTCCTGGTGAAGCGTGGCTGCTCTGGCTCAGGAAGGTTCTAGAAGGGCACCAAGAGGCCATAACAGTGTATGTAGGACCACAATGCAAATGTGACCTTGAGTAATTGACTGACCAGAGATGCAGAGTCCACACATGGAGACAGACCCCACCTCAACCGAGGACACAGGGACAGGGGAACATGGGCTGAATGCTGGGAGGGGTAGGGGGACTGTAGGAGTAGCAAGGGGACTATGGGGAGGTGAGGGGACAGGGAGGGGACTGCTAGGGAAGGGGATTGAGGGGGGTGGGAGGTAATGGGGAAGGGGGTTCTATGGGGAACACTGGCACAGATCCATCCAGTGGCTGGAAGGTAAGGGGCACAGAGAGCAAAGAGGAGGAGCAGGAAGAGGTGGGTATGGCAGAGGGATGCAGAGGCCAGGGCTCCCCAGAGGGAGGCCACAGCACAGGACCATTAAAAACATACACATTATTGTTGAAAGTATTACATATGTCCCCTTTCCCCCACGCTGACCTCTTCTAGGCGCCCCCGACCTTCACCACCCTATAGTATGTGTCCATGGGTTATGCATATATGCATACAAGTTCTCTGATCTCTTTCTACCCACCCTCTCCTCCCCGCCTTCCCTCTGAGGTTCGACAGTCTGTTCCTTGCCTCCATGTCTCTGGATCCACTCCATTCATGTTTATTTTGTTAATTAGATTCCACATGTGAGTGAGATCATATGATACTTGTCTTTCTCTGACTTATTTCACTTAGCATGATATTCTCCAGGTCCATCCATGCCGTTACAGATAGTAAGAGATCTTTCTTGTTTACAACTGCACAGTATTCCATGTTGTAGTTGTACCACAGCTTTTTATCCACTCATCTGCTGACGGGTACTTAGGCTGTTTCCAGATCTTAAATATTGTAAATTGCACTGCTATGAACATAGGGGTGCATACATTCTTTCTGACTGGTGTTTCTGGCTTCTTGGGATATATTCCTACAAGTGGGATAACGGGGTCAAATGGGAGTTCCATTTTTAACTTTTTGAGGAAACTCCATACTGTTTTGCACAATAGCTGCACAGTCTGCATTCCCACCAGCAGTGCAGGAGGGTTCCCTTTTCTCCGCATCCTCGCCAACACCTACCGTTTGTTGATTTGTTGATGATAGCACAGGACCATTTTAAGAACTGAGCTATAGTTTTCAAATTTACTGTTTAGTGCTGGAATTTGTCTTCAATTTTTTTTTCATGTAAAAACTCAACATAAAAGAGAAAAAGATTTGGGACTTTGGAGTTTAAGGTGATTCCCGGGACTCTTGGAAAACTGCTTTATAATCCTGGTCCCACTCAACCCCAAAACAGGGGGGGGGGGGGGGGCGTGTCACAGAGCATGTGTGTATGTGTGCGTGTGCACGTGCATAGGTATACATGCAAGGATGTCTGTGGGTACACATGTGTATGTAGCTGTGTGGGCATGCGTGTGAGCACACACATATATGCAGGGATATGTGTGTGTGGTATGTACACCTGTAGGTAATACCTCTTATTCATTGTTGCTTAAAGTCAGCCGGGCACTGTACCTATTTTTATAGTTATCTCATCTAAAATGGGCAGTGAGCTGCCGTGTTCTGCACGACGGTCTCATTTTGTCGCCCAGTGGGCTGGAGCAGGGACTATCTCCAGATCCCCTTCACAGACAGGAACGCCAGGCTCTGCGCTCCCTGACCTGGTTCCCAGGGTGCTGGCTGGGCTCTCAGGCTCTGAGCAGGCAGACTTGGGATCTTGCTCCCGGGGGCCTGGGCTGCCAGTGGGTCCCAGCCCCACCTGTGTTGGCTGGGGACCAGGGTGGCAGGCGGCTCTGCTTACAGACACACCTAGAGAGTCCAATCCCTTGGCCCTCGGGGGTCAGGACTCACTCCAGGACACGAGGCGCATCTTGTTGGTCCTGGGGCCGGGCACTGCGGAGTTCTGTTTGCGGCTGTGATGTTTTCTGCTGTGGCTCCTGCTCTGGGGTGACTCGGGAGGAATGTTGCAGGGGAAGCCTGATCCAGGAGAACATTTTTTTAAAAAAATATGTATTTTATTGATTTTTTACAGAGAGGAAGGGAGAGGAATAGAGAGTTAGAAACATCGATGAGAGAGAAACATCGATCAGCTGCCCCCTGCACACTCCCTACTGGGTATGTGCCCGCAACCAAGGTACATGCCCTTGACTGGAATCGAACCTGGGACCCTTGAGTACACAGGCCGATGCTCTATCTAACCATGGGGCCAACCAGTCAGGGCCAGGAGAACATTTTTAAGTCCCACGTGTGAAGGTGGCAGGGCGAGGCCCATGCCTCCCCAGAGGGAGACAGAGGCCGGATGTGAACACAGGGGCTGTGGCACGCTGCTGGCCTGGCGCGTTCCTCACCACTGGGAACCTCGTGCCGCAGGTGGGGCAGCAGGGCCAGCGTGGCGATTAGACAAAGACTTGAGCCGTGGCTGAGACTGGTGGACACGGAAGTGCCTGGTGCCTGGGCAGTGGGTGCTGGTGGCCTGGCCTGCGCGGCCCCCGGCTGTTAGAGCTCCATGCCCCGCCCCGACTTCCTGCTTGGCCTCCTCTGGGGAGCCAGGAGGGCTGGGGAGCTCCTAGATGGAGCCGTGTGCCATCGCCAGTCCCAGACTCAAGCTCCGAGGAAGCGAAGCCCTCAGCCCTTGGTTCGAACCCGAGGAGCCCAGAGGAAGCACCAGCCTCAGATCACAGAACAGGAAACGCAGGCAGAGGGCTCGGGCCGGGTGCTGGGAGGGGCTGTTTCAAGCCTGTCTCTCCGCAGGGGGCTCTTACCTTGGCTGGCCTCGTGTCTGCAAACACAGACGCTGGGTGGACGTGGAGGCAGCGGGGCTTCCCTGTGGCTGCTAATGAGCCATGTCCAGGAAGGACATGGTGGGACTCGGGGACCCGCTGAGCCAGGCGTGCTCCCTCCCGAGCGATCCTGGAGGCACAGGCTGGCCTTCCCGCTGCTGAGGCGGCGGCCTGTCTGCGCAGCAGCCCCACCAGGAACCCTGGGCATCCAGGCTGCCTTTCAGTGAGTTCAGCCCCAGCTCAGCCTGCCCAGGGAGGCTGAAGGCAGATGGGCTGTCAATTAGGCCGTCACAGCTCAGCTCCCAGGGTGCCTGCGGCTGGCTTCACTGGGGGAGCGAGTGTGGGGTGGGCGGGGCAGCCCCAGGTGTGTGTAGGGGGCATATTTAGCAAGGGGGACTTCCTGGAAGCCTCGTGACCCTCCATCATGTTGACTTAACGAGTGGGGCCCAGCGTTCTGTGTCCTTAGAGCAGGGGTCCTCAAACTACGGCCCGCGGGCCACATGCAAATACAAATATTGTATTTGTTCCCGTTTTGTTTTTTTACTTCAAAATAAGATATGTGCAGTGTGCATAGGAATTTGTTCATAGTTTTTTTTTAAACTATAGTCCGGCCCTCCAACGGTCTGAGGGACAGTGAACTGGTCCCCTGTTTAAAAAGTTTGAGGACCCCTGCCTTACAGGGACCTGTTCCAAGGACAAATCAACATCCTCTGTCCTCTTGCTGTTTGCCAAAGGTGACTGTCATTTTCAGAAAGTGTCTGACATAGATTACAGCATAAAGCAAGTAATTATGTAACCATTTTTAGGAATTAGTGTCAAATCACTGGGATTAGGGAAGACCCTGCAGTGTCCAGTCTGACTTCTCTCAGTAGCATGTGGTTATGTGATTCCCTCGTTACCACAGGGGTGACCACAGGACAGGGGGAAGCCAGGTGTCCACGGAGGTGTGGAGGGCTCCCCTCTAGAGGAGCCAGCTGTGGGCACAGCGGCTGAGCCCCGCAAAGGGGCCTGCATGTAGGTGGGTGACTGGCGTTCATGTCCAGACCTCAGGCAGGAGGGAACTTGGGGCTGGATGTTCCTTTGAGCAAATCCCACACCCAGGGTCAGGCCTTGGGGAGTCACAGGCCACAGGCGGTGCTGAGGGCGGGAGGGTGGTCCCAGCTCCGCCTCTCTCACCAGTTACAGCCTCTCAATAAGGCACTGCGCCCCTGCACAGGCTGGGGTGGCTCCTCCAGTTCCCACGATTTGCTGCTCTTTCAGACACACAGTTTGGAGACAGGTTCTGGAAAAGTCAGGGCCAGACTCCTGCTGTGCTGTGAGGGCCACTTCCCACCAGCTGTGGGCAGAGGAGCTGCCCAGGTCTCTGGTAAACTGTCCAGAAGCCTCTGGATTCTCTGTTCAGAGTGTACAAAGGGCACCCGTGCGTCGGAATCAAGACGGCCAAGAGCGGGGAGTGGGAACGCTGAGGTCTGTGCAACGGTGGCCAGGAGTGTGGAGGACAGGGCCTGTCTGGGGGGAGGGTCTGGGAAGGAGAGGGGGCATTTAGACAAAGACTGAAAGGAGGGGTTGTGGGAGTACAGGGGTATGTGGTGGGGACAGCATGGAGGGGGTGGGGGTTAAGGGTCAAGGTGGAGCAGCTGCAGGGCCACTGGCGGTCAGCCTCTGGCTACTGAGAGGATTTGGACTCCACAGAACAGTGGGACCTACACCACAACCATGGAGGTGAGCGGCTCCACAGGGACCATGTAGCCACAGAGACGGAAATAAGGCCACCTGGCCAGCCCAGAAGTTTGTGGGCCCTTTGTGGGGGTTGAGGGATTGCACCCAGCTGCTCAGCAGGGGGTCCAGACACAGCTTCCCTGGCCCTCTGGTTGCCTGAGCTTTGTCCCTATGGCGGTCGGCTTGGCCTGAAGGCCTACATGAGCCTCTGCCACTCCCTGGGGCTCAGTGAAGCCACTCTTGTGACGTGGACTGTCCTAGAGACACACTGGGAAACCCCAGGGAGGGCAGAAGGGATGATGGCACACCCAAACCCCCTCACCTGGATGCCTGGGCCTGTCCTCCAGGTGGGCTCCTCAGAGCAGTCAGGGTTCAATCAGGAGGCTCTGCAGGGGTCCAGGCCACCTGAGGCCGCGGCCTGGGCATCCTGGACAAAGGGGGGACACTGGGCTGCGTGGCGTGCACGTGTGTGCAGACAAGTGCATTCTCTGTCCCTGCCGCACAGCCCCCACGCAGCCCCGGGTAGACAGCACAGCACAGGCGTTTTTCTCTGAGAAGCTTTACTGAATTTCCTGTGGAGACCTGCATCCCTGAGTGACACCTGGACCCTCCTGGGGCCTGACCAGGCAAAGGTGTGGATGTGGCCACACGGACGGACAGAGGAGGCCTCTGGCTGTGATCTTACTCCATCAGGCCGGACTCTGTTCCACCCAATTGGGGGTTTGGGTGTAGAGCAGCTGCTGGCTCACGGGTGCCTGGCCTCCGGCGCTCCCTGGCTGTGCGGGTAGAACTGCCTGACCAGGTCCCTCTTGTTGATCTTCCCCATCTGGTTCCTTGGGATCTCCTCCACCAGCAGCAGCTCCGAGGGCACAGCATACGGGGCCAGGACGCCTCTGCAGAGACAAGCGTGACCTGAGTGGCAGGAACTCCGGGCCCAGAAGGCACCCACCTCCCGGCCTGGTCATATCTGTGCTTGTTCCAGGAGGGTGCCCTCCTGCAGGACACGCTAACAGAGATGCCCCTCTGCCCCCCGGGGTGGGGGTGAGGATAAGCCCACCCTGCAGCCTGGTCACTGCAGCGCCTTAGCCGGACGGGTGGAGAAGGCGGCCTCCCTGCACCAGAGGCCAGCACTCAAGCAGCACCAGCGTTAGTCCAGGGGTGGCTCTAGCCTGTAGCCCCCACTCCCCTGAGGGGCCCCCCATTACATGGTGTGTCCTCCCGTGTGCGGCCACATGCTGGGTCCCACACCCGTAGGCTCTGCTCGGGAACCCCTCCTTAGGCTGCAGGCCCACACTCTCCCTCCCGGGGCCCTTTCTGGGCAGACAAGAGCTGCTGCTCCCTGCTCTCTGAAGCCACACCCAGGCCCCATGCCCCCTTGCAAGGAAATTGCAGAAGCACTGGAAGCTGCCTGGGGTGGCAGTTCCCAGCCTCCTGGGACACAGGGACTCCAATCTGCTGACAACAACCTTCAGGCCAGGCCAGAGTGATGCAGACAGTGGGCTGCAGGACACATGGCCCCCAGTGTCTGCCCAGGGTCAACAGGTGGCTGTGGCCCTCCATTCTGTAGCTGTGGGGCCTTGGCCACTGAGGATTAGTAGCAAGGAGCTGGTGGTGGGGGTGGACAAGAAACCCCAATTCTTGCCTAAACAGCCTGGTGCTTATGAACAAACATGAGCCCAATCACCCTTGCAGGCTGGGTCCACCTACCCACAGGCAGAAAGCATCAGCAATACCGCCCTGAGCACACCGCTATCTCAGGGCAGCCCCTTCCCTAAACAGGCTGCTGCAGGCCAGGGCTATGGTGTGGCTCCCCCTCCAGGGTACTTGAGTGCAGGCTGCTGCTGGCTCATGAGGAGAGACAGTGCCACCATCTGTGGTCCTGGCAGCTGCAGGAGATGGCCGGGGCTGCACACTAGGGTTGGAGGACATGTGGGGCCAGGCTGGACTTGGCTGGAATAAGCCACCAGGACTGACAGTGCAGCAGGGGGAACACTCCAACTTGCTCCTGAAACGTAGCTGCCCACTGCTCTGCAGCCTGGCTGCCAAAACTCGGTGTCTCCAGTGGTATTTGGGTGGCATGTCGTGCTTTGAGGCTCTCCCCGACTTCACTTTCTTTACCATGCCAGCACTGAGCTGGGTGCCAGGGCCCAGAGAGAAGAGGGTACAGGTGGGTCTGGGGGTGTGGCCTGAGATGATGGCAGATTCCCACAATGAACAGTGCAGGTGAGAAGGTAGTAGAGCACCATTTCCCAGGAACGAAAAGAAAAACCCGTCAATCTAGAATCCCATGTCCAGCAAAAGTATCTTTCAAGAATGAAGGTGAAATTAAAGACGTTTTTAGACACACAGATGCTGATGAGGTTCCTTACCAGCAGACCAGCACCAGATGGGAGCGTGTCTGCAGGCAGGAGGAAATGCTGCCGACAGAACTGAGGGTGAGCCAAGGCAGGAAGAGTAGCAGAGCCGGGAAACAGACACCATGTCCTTACTACTGACTTCTCTTTAGGAGTAACCGCTTAACAAAAATAAAAGAAGGTAGTGTGGGTGTGTGACAAATATAAAAGCAGATGCAAGGCAATAATAGCCACAGTCTGTCTATGCATGAAGAGGCCGATGTCACAGGAGAGAGCCTGGAAAGTTAAAGATGCACAGTAAAACCCCACCTTAGCAACCACTAAAAAAGGGAAAAAAGTATAAAAATTAAAATGACCTAAAAGTGTTGTGAAGAACACAGGCTTAAAATCTGCAGGCCCTGCATTTCCAAGAACAGTGATCCCTTCATTGCAGAACAGTCTGTAAGCTGGGCCTGCTTTCCTCCAAGGGTCCCAGCTTAGCAACTGGCCTAATACAAAGCTCTCAGAACTGCTTCAGCAAAGTGAGATCCCGCACAGGAGTCATGCAAAGCTGAGCTGTCTGTTAAGAGCAAGGTTCCCTGTGAAAAAATCCACATGGACAGTGGAGATACTGCCTAGCACCTCCCAAACACGTCTCCTTGGAGGAGGGAGGAAGGGGCAGAGGGACAGGACTTTAGCCACCATTATGACTCATCATGGTCTGACTGGATGCTGACACTGAGGATTCTTCCCGGGTGTGGAAGTCCCACCTGGCCCACTTCAGTCGGCAGTCTGGGGGATGGAAGGGTGGCAGGTTGTCCGTGTCCTAGACCCTGCACACCTGGTAGTGTACCCAGCTCTGAGACCATGCCCCCGCCCCCATGGAGACGTGCTGCCTGAGCTGGGGCTGCCAGCTTCCCTGTGACCCCTGCTAAAAGCACAGCATGGGGAGGCAGACAGCTCTTTACCTGGGGAGCAGAGAGATTGAGAGGACAGCAAGAATCTTCAGAAATAAAAAAAAAATAGCAAAAGAGAAAACGTTATTTAAAAAATATATTTTTAAAAGCCTCTAAATGGTAGTGAACACAGAAAGAAACACAGCCTTACTAAAAAGTCAGTGTCCAAGAGTCGGGGGGAGGCTCCTCTCCCCATCCCTGCACCCACACGGGGGACGCAGAGGGTGGCTCCGAAAGGAAGACCCTCTTCCCCCTCCATGGGGTGGACAGCCTGTGGCACACCCAGTGGCTGCCAATCTGAGGACACAAACGCCCAGACACCAGCCTCAGTCTGACCGTCCTCACGGAGACACATGGCAGCCTAGCCAACTGCTCCGCCCAGTCCTGTTCTCCGGGGAGCATCTCCCCAAAGCACCCCAGATCCCCTGCACAAAGCGCCCGTTTTAGGGTCTTCGCACACCCACAGTCACAGCCATGACCATTAGAACAGGACCTGCTGGGGGCTGGGCCAGAAGCCTGAGCTGAATTTGAGAGACGCAGAGCCGAGGTGAGGGTGAGGGGCATGCGGGCACCTGCCTGGGGGCAGCCCCAGGTTAATGTGCGACTGTAGACTTGGACCCGAAACTCTCTGGGAGCTCTCGGCATAGGATACACACGTACACACACATGCACATATGTACACACACATGCACACATATCCAACCCGTACTCACATACACACATGGAATTGTTAACAGAGCAATTGTTTAATCAAAGCTGCCTCTCCTCTTGTTAAACAGCAGTGCTCCGACTGTGCTTCTGCAAATCCCGGGGATCTAATTGCCCAGCTGTGCTGCCCCTGATGAAACCAGGATTCCTACTGTTTGTGAAATCATGTTGGACAAGCCAAAAATATCTTTAGCACCGAGGAGGAGGCAAGCTGGGGTGGAGGAGGGTGTGGGGAGAAGAGGTAGATAGGAGGAAATTCTTGGATTTAGATAAAGAACTCGGAGATTATTAACTGCCTCTCTGAGCTGCAGGGCCACTGCTCCATGGTTCCATTACACCCTCCCCCTGTCCTGTCCAGTTCTGTCTGGCCTTGACAAGGATGGGGCAGGGATTTGGGGTGGGCCCTGGGACTGACCACAGGGCCCAGGGAAGGGTTCTGTGAGCCTTGGGACCGAGAAACCACGGGACCAGGCAGATGGCAGAAAGGCTCCTGGGGGAGGGGCTAGGGTTAGGCGAAGGCAAACCGGCCAAGATGCAGGGTGAGGGACAGGGACTGCGCTGCTGGAGACGGGGGAGCTCTGGCCTTGGGTGGCAGTGAGCATCCAATGGGCATGGGGAATGACCATGCTCAGCGCACGTGGTTTACAGCAGTGGCCACCAACCTTTTGGACCTCACGGACCACTGGCTGGCGACCGCTGTTTAGAGCATGGCCGAGGGGTGGGTGCTCTGGATCTGGCTTCAGGTTCACCGGATGTCCCCGCCAAGACTTCCTAAACCCAGGAGAGAACCTGCTCGCTCACCACCGGGACACTGTCCAAGAGCAAGTGTTTCTGCCGCCTCAGAACCTTCCTCCAAACCTCGTCTGAGTCGAATGGTGGGAGTGGGAGTTCCCATCCCCCTGCGAGGGCTCCCGGCCCTGCGGTGATGGGCACGCACAGTTCCACATCTGCTTCTGCCATCATTACAGAGGTCCCTGGAGCCCCCCATTGGGGCAGCCTCATGTAAGTACCACGTCGCCTGACCTTCCAAGTCCTCCCCCAAGATGAACAACAGCAAGGCCCAGCCCCCACCTGTCCCCTCCAGGCCATGGGACAGTCCACTCCCTGCCCACCCATTCCTGAGGTGGGAAAGTTCCCTCCCCTGACCCCATGAGGACCGCTGGCCCTGCCTGCCCTTACCTGGCCCACTCTTTGAGCTCCCTGTGGGACAGTGAGTGTCCCTCTTCCAGTGTCACCACTGCAGTAACGCGCTGGCCCCACGTCATGTCCGGAACACCGATCACAGCCACATCTGTGCACAGAACAGGGTGGGCACCTTAAACACCAAGTGATCACTGCAGGCTACAGAGTAGCAAGAACGTGCAGGAAATGCCGGGGAGGTGGGGTCCCTGGAGCAAGTCCTGGGGAACAGTTGCCGACAGCACCACGGCCACTCACCCTTGATGCTGGGGTGCGCCAGCAGCAGCCGCTCCACCTCCAGGGCGCTGACCTTGTAGCCACCCGTCTTGATGATGTCCACTGATGTGCGTCCCCGGATCCAGTAGCTGCCGTCCTTGAACATGGCTGTGTCGCCTGAGGAAAGGGGTTCTGGTCACCAGGAGGCGTGCTGGGGCAGGCACAGAGGACACATGGACATGGGTGGGTGCCTGCATCTGTGCCCATCAATACTATTGGTACTCTGGCTGTGGGGGGCAATTTTGGGACAAGGCAGCAAGCACAAAGTTTGACGGTTGTGCTCTCAATCTGTGGTGCTGACAGCGGAACACCCTCTGGCTGTGACCCTATGCAGGTGCAATGGAGAGGCCCGCACTGTCACTGCCCAGGACACCTGTCTCTCAGGCCCCTGAAAACAGAGAGGAAAGAGGATCGCTGTCTGCCAATGTCTGCAGTCGGGTTCCAGCCTCGGCAGGGCCCTGGTAGAGCTGGATATCACCGTGGCCTTTCCTGGTGGGGCGCTCCTGGTGCCATGTGGGTCTCTGACAGGAGAAAAGGGACTTCCTGCTCCGCTGGCTCACTGCCTGCTTCCCCATCTTGCTTCTCTTGGGCATCACCCTGGCAGGAACCCTCCCAGCTAAGGATCCAGAGTCCTTTCTCAGACATCACCAAGCATGAGAGGGGGTGGGACGGAGGACAACCAGGAGCTGGAGGTCTGCCCTCCAGCCTGGGGCAACGAGGGTGTGGAGAGGCGGGCTGTGTGAGTGCACACACGTGTGTCAGTGTGTATACATGTGTGAATGTGTGGCATGTGCACCTGGGGACACCCCCATCCCGCCCGCTGCAAGGAGTGCTGTTTCACCCACCTGCTCTCACACCCTGCACTTCATGCCGGGTTATTAGCTGAAATAAATCATAAATATTTCATTATACATCATGCGTCCGACTCAGGAAGGAGCCATCCATCACTGCGCCACTCCTTGAGACCTGCCGCGGTGCGGGGCGCTCTCCAGTCTATTAAACAAGACGGATGGGTGTGCTTGGACGGGCTGCTGGCTTATTTATAGTGCAGCGGGAAGGCCAGGCTCCCAGAGCACAGGCGGCGGCGTGGTGGTTCTCACCAGCCCCGACAGGAAGCGTAAGAAATGAGCGGCGTTAGAAAGCTGCATCATGGGGCCGGGACAGCCTGAGGCGCGGGTGTGAAGTGACAGGAGTGGCTGCAGGGACAGGGGTGGACACCAGGCCTCCGTGACCTCCCTCCCATCTCTGCTCTGGTCCTGTCTTCTCTGCACTAAACATCTGCACGGTCTTCCATGTTTCCATGGCTGCCAGCTGCCTGCCATGTAAATGCAGAGTTCGGCCTCAGTCCAGGCTGTCATCCTGTTCCTCGTCCTGGCTGAGACCTTCCAGGGGCTTCCTGACCTGACCCTGCTGGCCTCCACGAGCCCAGGGACTCAGCGGAGAGGTACTGCTGCCTGCCCCAGGCCCTGCCTGCCCCCACTGCCCGGAGCACGGCCATCATGGTTTCAGGGCCTCTGCCGATGTCACCTGCACCCTCTTTCAAAGGGCTGCTCTCAGCCCTACTCTGTGCAAATGCAGCTTAAGCCAGGGTGAGAGCCCCCTATAGCTGCACCCCCATGGCCACTGTGCAGCCCCTGACCATATCCCCTTGCCCTGGAGCAGGAAGACGGCTCCGGCCTGCAATATTCTAGTCCTCCATCTGCTGCCTCTCCTCCCTTCAGCCTATTCAGACATCACTTCTCTGGCATCTCCAGGTGTCCCCTTCCCGCACGCCAGCTCGCGGTGGAAGGTGGCTTCCTCCAGCACCTGTCTCCTGTCACCAGCCTGATGCAGAGCAGCGAGAACTAGGGTCTCCTCTGAGAGAACTAGGCACCGAAACGGAGGGGATGGTGCTGGAGATATATGGAAGTTGCATCATGGAGGGATTTGGGGATTTAGATGCCAAGGAAGGACAGGTGCACACGCGGGAGAGTCCCGGTCACTTATTTGGATCACTGTCAGGCAAAACCAACACACGATGACAGGTAGTCCAGATCATGCTGGATTTCCCAGGGGGCTTCCCATGTGATCACATGTGTCCTTAAAAGAGGGAGGCAGAGGCAGATACGACACAGAAGAAGGCCATGTAAGGACAGAGGCAGAGGTCGGGGTGACGTAGCCACAAGCCAGGAACACCTGGAGCCCCCAGGAGCTGGAGAGGCAGGGAGCCTCCCCTAGGGCCTCTGGAGGGAACATGGCCCTGTGACCTCTAGTTTCCAGACTGGGAGGGAATAGATTCCTGTTGGAGTTCTGGTTAGTGGTGAGTGGTTCCAACAGCCCCAGGACACCCCCACCAGGTGAGGAGCTGTGCTCTGTCCTGGGGCAGTGAGCTCAGTAGCATTTGCTGGCCGGTTAGGCGCAGAGGCAGGGCAGCCTGGCTCCGTGGAGGCCGGCCGGAGGGGAAGCAGCACGTGAATGGAGGCAAGAGTGGGCTGAGGCTCAGGGTGTGAGGGGCATGTGCTGCAGTCCTGTGGGAGCAGGAGCAAGGCTGTGAGGAGCCCCGAGGATGGTGGGGTGGACAGTGCAGGACCTGCGGGACACTGTCTCTACCGAGCGCCCTGGGGGCTGTGGGAAGCCTGGCATGGGGTGAAGGGACATTTGCATCTGAAAGCTCCTTCCTGCCGCCTGTGGAAACTGGAGGGCAGTGTGATGAGGGCGCCTGCTTGTGGCTGCAGCCATGCCCAGGTGGGAGACAGGATGGGAGGGACAGCAGGCAGAGCGAGGGCACCCGAGCACAGGAGGGCAGGCCTGGATTAGGACCAACAGGTGAAGGAGAAAGGAGTCCGAGCTCTTGGGCCCACCTCCTGGGTGGGGTGCACTGGGGGCCTGGGGAAAGCTTGGCCAGTGGGGGCTTTGTAAGGATGGGCACGGAACCTGGAGGGGCAAAGGCGGTTGTCCAGGGAAACACTGAGCAAGGAGAACCGGAAACAGTTCTGAGAAAGCCTGTCTCATAAGGACCCTTCTAGCTGCTGGGAAAGCTGCAGAGACAGCCTCGGGCCTGTGGGAGTGGCTGTGGCCAACGAGTGACAGGCAGGGGTGAGGCCCACCAAGCCCAGCGCTCCCAGAGCTTCCTCAGAGCCACCTGCTCTGACGGCTCAGCTCACCGTGGAGGAGCAGAGGCCAGAGGCAAGGGAGCCAACCAGAGGCCTATGGGCAAAGGCTCACAGAGGGGAATGTTTGGGAGGGATCTGGAAGACAGCAGGAGACTAACACTGCTTTCAGAAATGCGAAGGGCCTGGGACCATCAGTGGAGGAGGTGCTACTGTGGCATGAAGGTCTGGGACAGTGGAGGAAAGGACTCTTGAGGATTCTAGTTTTGAGGGGGCCCTGCAGAGAGGGAGAGGAGTCACCAGACTCTAGGAAGGTGGGAGGGGGCCGGGTTGGGGAACTCTCCTTCTCTGGGTCAAGGGCAATTGGAAAGAGTAGAGGGACAAGGAGTGAACATGGAGGGTCTGTGGAGGGCAGGTCCACGGGATGCCAGTGTAGTACCACTCTGTCTCAGGGTAACCCCGTGCTGCCTGGAGACCCGGAGGCCCTGGCTGCACTGGGGGGCAGGATGATCAGGCAATGCACCCAAAAGCCATGCTCAGAATTGAGAGGCGAGGCCCGTGTGGCTCCTTGAGGCTCTAAACGGGGACCCTGAACATCCCTCTACAACTTCCTTGGATACCGCCCGGGACAGTGCTAAGTCCCAGCAAGGGACATGTCCCCGGCAGGGCTCCAGGGAGCCTCTGACCACAGCGCTCTTCCTGAGCTCGAGGCTTGCCTGCAGGCCGGTGACATGTGTGCTCAGTGGTGCTGACGGAAGTGGTTTCAGAAAAAGGGGTCCTTGGCCTTCGAGGGAATGGGGAGATGATGCAGCACAGAAGCCTGCGAGGGTGGGAGCCACCTGTTTACAGGGCAGCCCCACACTGCCATTATTTACACAGGAAGACTGCCGAGTGCCACCCCCAGTCATGCGCCCAGAGGACAAGGTGTGCCTGCCTTGGCTCCCACTCTGGGCATGAAAGCCCCTGCATTGGGCGGTGTCCAGGAGGGAAAGAGTTAAGGAACAAAGAAAGTCTCCAAACCCCAAAGAGCCCGGGGCAGACAGACTTAAGGAAAGAAGGAAGTGTGGTGGGGAATTTCTGCAGCTCAGAGCGGAGACTGTACTCCCAGAGCCTCTGTGCAGCCACACTGAGAAAGGGCAGACCCGCCCGGGTGACAGGGCGCGAGGCCAGACGGTGCCCCGGTGTTCATGCGGGAAGACGAGACGACATGGAGCAATAACAGTGTCTGGAACTGGCTTTGGTGATGCGCCAGTTACGTTGGGCAGTCACCTGGGGAAACTGGGCACAGATGCAAGAACCTCTCTGCACATTACTTGTGACCGCCTATGAATCTGTATTTCAAAATAAGAAGTTTTAAGAAATTGCTGCTTGGTTTATGGAGACATTCCCCTCCTCAAACCCCAGGGGAGCACCCCCACCCATGGGCTCCCCCACCCCACCTCATGGGCTCACACCTATGCAAGTCACTTGCAGCATCTGCAGCACATTATAATGAAGCAATAATTCCTTAAAGGAAGAATCTGTATTAACGAAGTTTATGACTGAGAACAAGTGTCACAAGTGTGGGAAATTGCCTATCAGGATGCTAATTAGATGCCCCTGATCAGGCTGGACTCTTCCTCAGGCGCGGCTCCACCTTTCTGGGAACACCCGCTCTCTCGTCCTGAGGGAAAGCCCAGCTCTCCCCCAACCCTCTGGCCTGGCAGGCCCTGCATCACAGGAGCCAGGGCTAGCTCGCCAGGGCTGTGCAGGCGACTCTTGAGTCAGCTCTTCCCTCAGTGAAGGACGACACCTCCATGGAGGCCCACACTGGGGGGTGTGTGTGTGTGGGTGGGGGGGTGGTGTGTGTGTCTGTCTGTCTGGGTGAAAGGAGACCAGGTAGGGTCACCACTTGACCCAGCAACTGCCCTAGGGTTGCACATTCTACTGAGTCATGCTGAGGGCAGAGCCGAGGGCCAGTGCAGCTCGTGTCCCTGAGGCACCAGGCTTCTGAGTCAGAGGACGTGGCAGCCACCTGTCAGTAACAGG